AAATCAATGGAAGACTGTAATATGATCCAATGAATCGAGGTTCACACGGTTCCGTCTAACGGATGTGTTTATGCGTGGAGACCACTGCAAGTGACATATCACAAAACCATTATGGTCAATTTTGGAGGACAAGGTTCGGGCTCGTTCTCTGCATTCGGCATCTCTGCGCAAGCTGTAATGATTTTTGCATGAAAAGTAGTATCAGATACCGTTATCCACCATCCATGATCCAGAGCTCAGCAAAGGCCCTGTCAAACTGTTCAATGAACCAATAGGGTGTTTACGTGCTAGTCCAAACCTCAGTGGAGGTCCTGCTAGCCTGATCTCAGATTTAGTGAATCAATAGGGTGTCTATGGGCTAGACCAGACCTTATTGGAGACCCTGACAAGTTTGGACTCATTTTCCGCCTTTGGTATCTCTGCAAGAACTGCAACAATTTTTACTTTGAAGAGTGGTATCCGATTTCATCATACACTTTCCAAGACTTATATTTGTCAATTCCCACGACAATTCAGGCCGTCTTAGAAGCCTAAGGTGGTCCAACACCATATTAGGTAAACCATTTTGTTTTTTACCTGGTGTCTCCATATATTTGTTTCTGGGTACAACTAAGGCTCTCATTTGGAAACTCTTGCCACTATTACCCGACTCCTGGAAGCAGTACTAGTACTAGAGCAATAACACCACTATCTCATATGACAAGCTGTGTTCTATCCTGAAATGATATGCCTACTGGAATAGAGCAAGAAAGCTCTCCTATTAAAGTATTACTGAACCCACAACAGTAAAATCAGTCTGTATATGCAGTAAAGCATGCTTGCTATACTCACTGTGGAACCTAAGGGGTTAATCCTCCACGTTGTGTAAAAAGGCTGTTTGATTCTGTCTTCTCTGAACCACCCCTTCTACAATCTCCAATCCATCTGCTGATAGTGCAGAGTTTTTTTTTGCCTTTGGGAGGGTGCATGTGATCAGCACAGGGCCAATCACCACTGTCCAGACAGGGGTTATGCAGCCCCATTGGACAATCCTACAAGCTTTAACCAGAGCTCAGCTAAACACTGGTAGAAGTCACAAGACTGCTATATACTGCTGATGAGAAAAGGTATTTTGCAGTGTATATTTACTAAAATAATTGCATTTCCATGTTCTGTGTACTGTGGGAGACCAGATAGAGTGAATGCAGGATCCTGGGTTTAGGAACACTTTAAAGAATTCCACACTTGCATGATGTCTGCCTGCACACACTAACATAATTGTTGATCCTTTGGCTGGGACTGTGAGCATATATACAGTGCTCAGCATAAATGAGTACACACCCCTTTTAAAAAGTTAAATTTTAATCAATATCTCAATGAATACAAGAACAATTTCCAAAAGTTTGACATTGAACATTTGTTTAGCTCATTACATGAAAGTAAGGTTAATAATAACTTAGATTACAAAATCTTTAGTTTTACTCAAATTAGTTACACAATGTTGTACAACGTTATGTTTTGTATTGCCTGTTATGCTTTGACCGGTCTGCGACACGGGAAGCACCATACAGTGATATGTCCGACCTTGGATTCATGTCTGTACGTGTATTGTTATGGCTGCTTTCTTCTAATAAAAATATTTTTTTGGAAAAAAAAAAAATTAGTTGATGCAAAAAAGAATACACCCCACAATAGAAACTACTACATCTAGTGTTTTGTATGACCTCCATGATTTCTAAGGACAGCACCAAGTCTTTTCGGCATGGAATTAAAAAGTTGGCGACATATTGCAACATCTATCTTTTTCCATTTTTCAAGAATGACCTTTTTTAGAGCCTGGATGCTAGATGGGGGTGATGTTCAACTTGTCTCTTAAGAATTCCCCATAGGTGTTCGATTGGGTTCAGATCAGGAGACATACTTGGCCTTAGATGTGTGTTTTGGATCATTGTCATGTTGGAAAAGTGCACGACACAGAGTGATGGTGGCATCTTCTCTTACAATATAGAGCAGTACATCTGTGAATTCATGATACCATCAATGAAATGCAGCTCCCCGACACCAGTTGCACACATACAGCCCCACAGGACACTGCCACCATCATGTTTCACTGTAGGCACCATGCATTTTTTTTTGTACTCCTCACCTTTGCGGCGCCATACAGATTTGAAGCCATTAGTTCCAAAAACATTTATCTTGGTCTTATCACACCAGAGAAGAGTCCCAGTAGTCTTCTTTTTCAGCATGGGCCCTGGAAAATTGTAAGCATACTTTTTTGTGCATGGGCTTTAAGAGAGGCTTCCTTCACGGATGACACCCATGCATGCCATTCCTCTGCAGTGTACGCCATATTGTGTCACGGGAAAATCACCCCAGTTTGGGTTTCTACTTCTTTAGCTAACTGAAGTGAACTAGCATGGCGATTTTCTACAACCCTTCTCATCAGAAGACGCTCCTGTTGAAGTGTTAACTTCCATGGACAGCCTGGATGTCTCTGTGAGATGGCTGCAGTTCCATCTTTGTATCACGTTTGCTACAGTATTCTGACTGATAAGTAAAGCTTTGCTGATCTTCTTGTAGCCTTCACCTTTCTTGCGTAACAAAATTATTTTCTCTCTCAGGCCTTGTCACATTTCTCTTCCATGTAGTGCCATTGCTGACAGCATGAAATGGGAAGGGGTTTTCATTAGGAACACCCTTTTATAATCAATGGTCTGTTGGACACCTGTTTAATAAATTAGACTCCCCTGTAGTTGAATTCTTGTTAATTAGGATTTTATTTTCTAAAATTTAACTTTGTTCCAAAGACTTTCATTGGGGTGTATTCATTTTTGCAACATGGTCTTGAAAGAATTTTGTTAAAGCGGAGTTCCAGTCCCCATAAAATTTCTTTAAAAAAAGCTCCCCCCATATTAATAACAACCTGCAGTTAAATATGATCCTACTGTCTTTGATTAAATCATGCTAGTTATTAAAATAATGTATATATTCTTACATTGATCTCAAAAGCAGGCAGGTTCCATGATGGATGTGGGCATCTGAAGCCCACTGCTATGCACATCCTGAATTTGGTGCTGCTGGCTATCCCAGCGTGTACCTCTCAATCTCATGCATGAGCAGTATGGACAGAGTGCAAGGGAAAATATCACCAGCACACCAAGGATCACCAATATGGGTCCAAAAGGTTTAAATGAACGATCACATAGTTACAGCAAGGCAACGTTTCGGAGTCTCGCAGGACCCCTTCATCAGGCATGTAATGTAGGAACGTGTGCGTTTGGATTGTACACGTGCAGTATGGACAGAGTGCAGCGCAAGTTGTTTGTAACAGGTTGCCATAACAATGGTGGAAGTTCATGCCCCGTTGTTATGGCAACCCGTCAAACGACAAAACACAAAAGGAATTATTTCTCCATTTTTAAATGGCGCTTGCCTCCACCTGGCATCGCGTCATTTCTGGTTTTGAAATAATGCGATGCTACAAGCGGAGGAAGGTCATTGATTCCTGGGATTGAAGACTCATTGATCTCAGGTATCAAAGAGGTGGCAGGAGATGACATACCTTGCCGAGATGAGGTAAAACGGAAGTGCGGTGTAATAAAAAAAAAAAAAAAAGGTATGTAAACCTTGGGAAAAAAAAAAAAAAAACATACCAAACTGTTACTGCCATACATCAAGAAACATTTTAAGGAATCTTACAAAAAAAAAAAAAAAAAAAAAAAAAAAAAAACGGGTGGAACTCCACTTTAAGAAAAATACTTTTTCGTGTGTGCAAGTTAACAAATCTCATTTGCAATCAACGACCTGCATTTGTGGGAGTATTTTGTAGTATAGTGTCCCACAGAAAATGTTGATTCTGAAAGGAAAGTAAAGGTTTTCTGACAAATCTGTTGGGGTGTACTCATTTATGCTGAGCACAATATATCTGTTGAAGACCAAATATGGTACCAAAATCATGGTTCTGAAATACACCATCAGTACAGTAAAAAGGAATTCTGTCAAGACTCTTGTGATCTCCAGGAGCTCTGTTCTTAATAGGTGCATTTGTGTTATTCTATAATCAAGCAGTAATCCTACTACTACTATTACTTCAGCAGCCCTCAATACAAAATAGTCCAAAAACTGGGACTAACAATGAGGAACTAATATGTTTACACAGCTACGTTTCAGTAAAAGCTGGTAGGACAAGCTCAGCCACTTCCTCAATGAACAGAGACTAGCACAACCAGGTCTTGGAACTCCCATCTCATACATTATTATCCCCACTAAAGAAGTGACATTGTCCAAAATGACTGAAATTTGAAATACCTCACCGTACAAAAGGTTGGGCAAATCCTATATGCTGATCAGCCATTGCTTCTGAAAAATAAGATAGTGGCACACATTTTGGAGCCTTTTTCAGTACAAGCATATGTACATCCTTTGGCTGCTCAAAAGTGCCTGCTGGTTCCTAGATCAGAGTTCTTTCACAAATATGTCCAACTCTGCTGTCCAAGACTTTACCTTCGCATGTAATGATAGTATAGATGACCATCAGAAACGGAGTGCTCTAGTCCTACAGAAGGACACAACCCCAGAATACACTAATCCAGCTAAGCATGGAACCATCTCTGTAGTCATTATAAAACCAATCACAAATCGGTTCGAATCTCGGCCAGTTCAGCAGGGACTGGCTAGGATTCTAACCATCTATGGCCAGGCTAATTGTACCAATTCAATTGTTGTACAACTTGGGTACAACCATCCAGTCAGATTTTTCATGCGGGTATAGCCGCTAGCAATAATCACTGTGTTCTCCCGGCAGGGGCGGCTACCCCCTGCCAGGAGAATACTATAGCTCTGCGGGAGGGATTCAGTCAGAGTTGATGGGGGAAAATAGAGCGATTTTTGCTGGTAAGAAAATCAAATTTTCTATGGCCTGCCTAAGAGTCCCATGCAAAGTACACTGTACTTGTTTCTTTACAGAAAGGTATAGCCTATCTAAAATGGAAAAAGTTTTGCCTTTAGTTCTGCTTTAACATTACATAAAGGGAAATATAGGCTAGAGCACGGCTTGAAATTTCCACTCGCCTGCTCGCCAATGGTGAGTGGAAATTATGGTGGGGCCGAGTGTGTCCCCCAGGGCTGTCTTGCTGAGCAGGCTCGGAGCTCAGGCCGGATCTGTCATTGGCACTGGGAGCCATCAGACTGCTCAATAGCTGAGCGCAGTGAAAGCAAAGCAAGGAGTGTGTGCTGTGCTCTCTGCCTCCCCCTAGAGTGCAGTACCCGGATCTGTGAGTGAACAACGAAGTACTGCAACTTTTTATGGGGGGTTTGTGTGTGTGTCTGTGTATGCATGTACAATTGTACATGTGTCTGTGTGTATCTGTACATGCGTCTGCGTGTATGTACATGTACGTGTGTGTGTTTATGTATGTACATGTGTGCGTGTGTATTTCTGCGTATGTACATGTATCTGTGTGTATGTGTGTCTGTACGTGCCTGTGTGTGTATACATGTGTCTGTATGTGTGTGTACATTTCTGTGTGTGTATGTGTGTGTGTGTGTGTGTGTTGGTGGCGAGTAACTCTAAGGCCTGGCTAGTAGCTCAGGACTTGAAATTTTAAGCCCTGGGTTAGAGTTTAATAGGATTGTTCAGCAAAATAAAAATGTAATCAGAAATTTTTAATTGATACTATATGAATGACAGCAAGTAACAAATATGTCTAACAACAGTGATCCAAATTTGGCTATAAAAATGGAAATACACTTTAGGGTCACCATACACAGTACAATCTTATCATACAATCAGCTATAGATTTACCAAAGCTATGTGAAAGGCGGATCTAGCTAATCTATCCAATCAATGTATATCCAATCAGGCAGGCTCTACAAAGTTGTTTGGAGATTGTACAAACTCCTTCCCGCCTCCCGACCCTTTAAGAGGCTCTAAATGCAAAGACGTGGAGGCGGGCACTCCAATCATGTGACCGCTATGATTGGCGGTCACAGCGCTCACATGATCAGAAAAGCTCCCAATCGCAAGTATGTATTGGGAGATTTCCAGTACCCCCAGGTAACTGTGCTGGGAGTGCATGTGCTCTCAGTACAGAAATGTTTACACGTATGGGACCTCTCAGCGTTCAAGCCCACCCACTAAGAGGCTGCATATATGCATACGGCAGGTGGGAATAGGTTAAATCTGAATACCAGATCCAGTTATTTTTGCATAGTTACAAGCTTTGACCAATGCAAGTATATATATATGCCATGGCTGATTCTATTGGAAGCAGAGAACAACTGTAATAGACGCCACTATTACAATGAGTGCTGCTGTCTTTGGGGTCCTGTGCCAAGCGGCTGCCCTGCTGCATAGTAACCACAGGGGGTCGCTCCCTTGACATGGGTGCCATTCAGAGACTGACTTGTTCTCTGGTTGGATGAGGTGCAAAATTTTGTGTCATTGCCTGCACCTCATCCAATAAAAGGATGCTTTGCATTTATTGAGAAATCTGCAAGTCATTCTCTGAATGGTGCCCATGCCAAGTAAGTGTCCACATTCATCGATGGTTACTATGCTCCAGGGCAGACACGGCATGGGATGGTAAGGTAAGTGAGGATAGCTGTAGTAGTGGTGACTACTACAAATGATTTGCAGCTTCCATGGAGAGCCTATAGATAGGAAACATGCATACTTAGGGTACATTCATACCAGGTGTGGTGGGGCAACTAGACTAGTGCAGTCTTCATGCAAGCCACGGTAAAATGCCTTGACCCCTATGTGCCCAGTTTGAAGTGGCGTGTGATGGAATAGTAAAAAAAGAAAAAAAGGAGTACATCTGGTTGTATTATCTTTTTAGCTCAGCAAAGTGCGAGAAAGTCCACTGCCTCACACCACACAGTGACCAACCATGGAACTCCACTGAATCTGAGCACCACAAACCCTACTTAATTCATTTTTAATATTCAAAGCAAATATGCCTGTTCATCCATTTCTCTATGCTTCATCTTTAGGTTTTTAGGCTGCGTTTACTTCCTGGAATCCATCTTCCCTTAACTTAGGCATGCAGGCACAAGGATGTGCTTAGCTAAGAAAACCCCTCCTGCTCTCCTGAAGACTCCTGAGTGGTATGACATCATCTGCCTAGGCATGGAAAACAGGAAGTAACTGATGAAATGGTAAAAAAAAAAAAAAAAAAAAAAGTTTAAAACAAGTAAATCTACTTTCCTATTTACTGATGTTAGCAGCAGAAAGATTATAAATGGTCAGTATTGATTGGGAGAGTGAAGTTCTGCTTTAACTTGTTAATGCCAACTGTACGCATATATGCGGCCTCTCAGTGGGTGAGCCTGAACACCGAGCAGCTGCATATGTGCCACCCTGTTAAAACAGCTTACCGTGCTGGCATCATGGTGGCCAGTGGGGATTGGTAAGCTCCTGAAGCATACTTGCGAACGGAAGCTTGCCAATCATGTGATTACTGTAACAGCCAATCGCAGTGGTCACATGACCATTATGCCCACCTTCACTTCCTGGCTTTTAGAGCTCTTAAAGGGCCAGAAGGCGGTCAGAATAAAGGATCTAAAGCAGAACTTCACTCTCTCAATCATCATGGACTATTTTAATCCTTATGCTGCTAGCATCAGTTAATGGATATGAAAGTATGTCATACTTGTTTTAAACTTTGTTATACATTTCTTCAGGTACTTCCTGCTTTCCATGCCTAGGCAAAATGAGATCATACATCCCAGGAGTCTTCAGAAGGGCAGGAAGGGTTCTCAGCTCAGCCAATGCATGAGCTAAGGGCAGATGGATTCCAGAAAGTAACTTCCACATTAATCATCTGCCCTTACTCAAGATGGACACTGCCAGAAATGCTAGGGATGTTTTTCAAAGTGATTTCTCAGCAAAATAAAGCAATGAGACATGAATAGATGGGAGGAGTTCTCTTTGAATAGGAAAAATGAATTAAATAGCGCCTTTGGTTTGTGATGCTCAGATACAGTGTAGTTTAAGGAAATGTCACACAAAGTTTGTTTAAAAAAGAAAACAAAAAACAGTGCAATGTGTTATGATTGGTGTGTTGGCACCACAGTTATCCAATCAGATTGCACCGCACACTAGCCGCTGGTGTGAATGGACCCTAACATTGGTCCAGTGTATCTATACAAGTCATATGTAGAATTGAGGTTTATCCCCCCGGCTGTAGATGTGTACTAGTGCAGTCTAAGAATGATGTCAGAGATGTGGTCTCCCTCAGTCCGTGTTTACTATGTATTAGCGCTCAGAGCAGCCTGAATGAATGAGGAGAGCAGGGAAGTGAATGGACAATGTCATTGTATGTCAGTGTCACCCCTACCACAGATAGCCGGCGACCCCACACTGTCACTAACCTGTCCTCCTCAGCTCGGTGACCCCACTCCACTGACAAGCCTTTCCCACCCCTCCCCCGTCCCGTCATCAGCTGGTCGCCCACTTCCGGCTCCGGCCTCCCCCCCCGTCCCATGGAAGGCCCGATCCCCGGCTAGGAAAATAGCGGCACAGGCTGCCGGGCTGACCTGAGCGGAGGACGCGGTGTCCGGTCCCGGGGCTCGGATGACGAGGATGTTAAGTGTGTAAATCGGACTCCTCCTCCCTGCACTTCACCGCAAAGATGGCGGACACCTGCTGCAGGAAGTGACGCCGACGAGGAGCCGCCGTAATCCACGTCTACGAGGTAGAGTTACCATAGGAACACGGCAAGCTGGACCGGGCGAATGATGGGGCTGTGCTGAGGGAGAAGGCGAGCAGGACGGGAATGGGGCGAGCGGGATGTGGGTGGTGTGCTCCTCCTAACACTGGCATGGCGGGAACAGGCTGCTCCTCATGGCAGCCATCCCTCCTCAGGGCTGTGTGCAGTTCAGAGACATGTGATTGGTTGTTCAGGGTTAGTGCACGGCTTATAATGGGGGTGAGGTCCTGTGTTATGTGCTGGGATGGCTGGACTGGGGGCACACTGAGGCCTGTGGGAGCATGATTTTCATTTAGGCCTCATTTACACAGTCAGGTAGGCCTCTGTTTAGATGTGGCTAAACACCACCACAGTGCAGAGAAGGCCTCATTCACACTGCCTGTGTTAACCTTGCGTTTGTGGTGGGCCTCATTTGCACTGGCTGTGTCAACCTTGCATTTAGGTGTGGGCCTCATTCACACTGCCTGTGTCAAGCTTGCGTTTGTGGTGGGGCCTCATTCGCACTGGATGTGTCAACCTTGCGTTTGTGTGTGGGCCTCATTCGCACTGGCTGTGTCAACCTTGCGTTTGTGTGTGGGCCTCATTCGCACTGGCTGTGCCAACCTTGCGTTTGTGGTGGGCCTCATTCGCACTGGCTGTGCCAAACCTTGCGTTTGTGGTGGGCCTCATTCGCACTGGCTGTGTCAACCTTGCGTTTAGGTGTGGGCCTCATTCGCACTGGCTGTGTCAACCTTGCGTTTGTGGTGGGCCTCATTCGCACTGGCTGTGTCAACCTTGCGTTTAGGTGTGGGCCTCATACGCACTGGCTGTGTCAACCTTGCGTTTAGGTGTGGGCTTCATTCGCACTGGCTGTGTCAACCTTGCGTTTGTGTGGGCCTCATTCGCACTGGCTGTGTCAACCTTGCGTTTAGGTGTGGGCCTCATTCGCACTGGCTGTGTCAACCTTGCGTTTAGGTGTGGGCTTCATTCGCACTGGATGTGTCAACCTTGCGTTTGTGTGGGCCTCATTCGCACTGGCTGTGTCAACCTTGCGTTTAGGTGTGGGCCTCATTCGCACTGGCTGTGTCAACCTTGCGTTTAGGTGTGGGCTTCATTTGCACTGGATGTGTCAACCTTGCGTTTGTGTGGGCCTCATTCACATGAGCATACCTATCTGTACACCTGTGTGAAGGGCTGTCTGTGCTTACACAGGTGTTCTGTGCATGCAGGCATCCCCATTCACATCTATTGGGATACGGCGGCTGCATGGACACAGTCGCTGCTTCCAATTTGACAGCTGTGTGCGCTCTTCTCCTTGAACACAGTGTGCCTTTCAGGGACCCACACAGCTGTGAAATTGGGAGCAATGCCTGCGTCTGTGCAACCTCTGCATCCCAATAGACGTGAATGGGGCTGCCTGCATGCACAGAATACTTGTATGGGCAAAGAGAACCCTTCGCACTGGTGTACAGATAGGTACGCTCATGTGAATGAGGCCTTGAAGGGCTTGTTCACCCTTGTGCAATGACCTATGGTTTTCAGCACTAGAAAACAATATGTCTCCAGAGGGGTACACAGAAAACAATCGTTTGTACTTGAATACAGCCTAAGGCTGGCCATACACTATACAATTTTCTGCCCAATTTCCTTTTAGATTTACCTTCAACTATGTAGTGCAAGAGCCTGCCTAATTGGATACAATTGAAAGTGTTGTTTAGGTTTGACCTCCTATTATAGGGTTTTTGGTAAATATAAATCAAAACTCGCAAGAAAATTGTATAATGTATGGCCAGCCTTAGTGCTGATTCACACATGTGCAGTGTGGATTGAAGCTCAGGTTTCACAGCTAATTGATAGAG